AGACTTACTATTATTTTGTGCACCAAAATTTATAGGGTTTTTCATGATTCCTTCTGATTACTTTTATTTTCCTCTTTGGCGATTGAAAATGTGGGAGAAGTTCCCAAAGGAAAAGATTTGGCCAATCAGTTCACATTTCGTGACTTTCCAGAGCTATCTATTTTATAGCTGTGTAATTATTCTGAAATGACGGTGTTTGCCCCATATGCCAAATGAATGGGAAAACACAAAACAAGGTTCTTTTTATTGTTAATATCATTATTCAGTGAATTAATGAAACTGCAGAATTGTTTTTACTCCAATGCAGAATACAAAAGACTTACATTTCTGAAAATTAGTTCTGAATTAGTTATTCCCAGGGAAGCTATCTCAAGATAATAGCAGTAATAATAATATCCAAAAACAAAAATTAGAGCGACATAATTTTCAGAGTATCTTCCTTTCTTTTTTTTTTTTTTTAATTTTTCGTCGTTCTCTTGTTTTATTTTGATGATTGTTTCAGGCAAATACTAGTAAATATAAGTAATGAGCAAATTATATGCACAAAGGGCGTTGGGGAGATAATTAAATAGGAAACTTAGTCAAATTGTTGGAGGATAAATTTCCTTCAGTGTTGCCGCCCTTTCATTAATAATGAATAGCAATAAGGATAACACTTCAGCGCGTTGTACGCAAAGACCCTGACAGTGCGAGAAAGGGGTGCTGATGGTTGTTGCATTCATCTAGTGGTGATGAAATATATTCTGACAAGATTCTGAACATGAAGCGCCGTTGCTCCCCAGTGTTTTCTTTAAGATCTTTCCTCTTTTTGTTTGGAGGCTGGTTATACACCGTGACGGTTGCGAACCAAGGTGAGTTAACTTTAACATTGCATTCTCTAGGTTTCATTAAAATTTAGTCCTGAAGCCAGGCGAATCTGGAATTGAAGGAAGCTAAGTCGAATTGGCGAACCAGGCCCAAAAATAATGCATTTTGTGGATTTGGATAGCTTATTTCATCACATAAGGTGCTAGGGCTCTGAATTAAAAACTAACGTAGCCATTTCTAGGAAACTTGAACACGACGAAATATGATTTTTTTGTTTGCAAGTATAGCTTTTTCAAGTTCATTAAAAATAATTAACCACGATTTTAGAGGGAGCTAAACAAGTTTAGAAACTTTCAAGACAAGTACCATGCAACAAACTCAGTCGTCTGCAGGACATAAATCGGTGTATTTTGATGAGACTTTTTGGCGACGTTTCCTAATTTTTAATTTCTGATGAGAATTTATTCAGATCATTGAGTACTGCCTACCGATCTTATACCATATCGAGATTTTATCGATTACTCGTATGATTACAGAGCGAACTGGAGTCCACTCGATCCTATTACCTCTATTAATAGTGCCTATAGAAAGTAAAACGGCCCTTTTTGTGTGAATTAGATATATTGCAAAAGGTTTTAATTTAAGTGATAATATTTACATTTACATACAGTCCTAGATAACTGCGTGACCTATGTTTGGTTTTCTACCATACCTTTTCACGAGAATTTAAATCACGCACTTTGGTAGAGTGTCCTGGTTAAGAAAATTACGCTAACCATGTATTTCGTAGATACACTTTTGGTAAACAAAGATATATCGATGCCATAGGCTAAAAAGTTCTTTGTTTGACTTAGAAAGAGAAAAACTACTCCATGACATTAGGTTCAATCGAGAGTGTGGAAAAAGATGATTGAATCTCTGTTTCACTCGAACTGAAGAAGCTTGAGACATAGCAGAATTGAGTGAAGGATTACTCTCATTTAGAGATTAACCTCCCCTCTCCCCTTAGAGTAAATCTTGATTTGACACCACGTTCTCGTCGCTGGCGAAAGAACATGTCTGGCACAAAAACATTCGGGGAATTTTGAGAGATAATCTCCCACTGCTGGACCTATTAGATTAAGGATTGCTAAATCTGCAGGAGACACTGGAAACTGAATACAGTACAATATACATAGGATGGGAAGCTAACCAGAAATTGGGGCTTAAAATTTTGCTGTGGCTGCAACTGCAGAGGAAAATTAATTCTAAGATTCCTAAAATTGCCTACCTTAAGGGGAGAATCCTTGTCTTTTACACTAAATTCTCTTCCAAAAAATTATGCTTAATGTTGGAAAAGTGGATCTGCAAATGTAAACAAAAGGTGCATTCCAATCAGTACAAGGGATTTAACTGATTCTTTTAAAGCACAACATGGATTCTTTTCCAAAGAAGTTCCTCCATCCCAAAACCTTTTTCATCTAGTAATGGTGTATTATAAATATACAGCTCAATGCACAGGTGGAAAGCAATAAAATTTTCCAAGAATTCCAAGGGTGTGAAATATTATGTTTATGTGTTGTCAAATTGACGTATGCACAGGATGTCAATATTTTGACATTATGACGCAAATGAATGTCTTAGGGTTTCGTTCTTTATACAATTTCACATTGATCTGTTTTGATCGTGATGAAAAGTCTCATGTCACAATCTCCTTGGTAACTGATCGCAGTGATTCGGTAAATTCAGGTTATAGGTGTTTCAACAAGTGGGGCTCGAAAACTCATCGAAACTCACCTGGCAGCCAAGTCGAGTCGATTCTCATCTCCTGTGTGGAGGGAATAATGGCTTAACAATAAGAGGGCGTGTATGTCATTCTAGTATTACCTTGATAGTTATCAATAATTGATACAGTTTGTCAGTGAGGCATCTGTCAAAGACTTTGCAAACGCTTAAACAGTGCTAGACTCGCGCTTCTCCCCTCAAAAGTGAGATTTGCGAATCATGTGTGCGTGCATGTCACATTATCTTCTACAAAATATCTTGTTTCTGATTAGTGAAAAAAGCATAAATAAGTTATGAAAGAAAATTTTCATACAGCATTGTTTAAAATTCAAAGCTATTCCAAAACACGCAGAAATAATAAATTTAATTCCTAAAACATTCTTTATAAAAGCTGACTTTTTCGTCACAATTATTGTATAATGTAATCGATTCAAAGGACACGCGAGAATTTATACAGAACTCTTTACTTACATTCAGAAATACTTCGAGGAGTGAATTTATACCGTTTCGAAATAACATTATTGTGCAGACTTACTAGTACCTTTGACTCCCTCAGTCTCTCTCTCCCTCAGAATTAATTTGTAAAAATACAGCCTTATGATATAAAAATTCATAACAGCTCTAGATTTTGTCGCAACTTTGCGAGGTAAGAAGCTTTGTTTACAACATCTTTTAAGATTAAATGTCAGCCAAAAGCCTTGAATACTGATTTCTTACCAACCGAGCGAGGGGGCCATACTGGGGAATATTGGCCTAAGGTCACAGCGCTCGGTCCGTACAGAAACATCCGAGGGCCAATAATCCCCAAGACGGCTCGAGCTAGTGAGGTAAGTTAGTAGACCGAATGTTTCTTGACTTTGCCCGGTTTCGTATCCAAAAATACACGGCTCATGGATGTGTTAGAGCGCTCGAATTTACCTCACATTTACCTATCTTCCCACGTAATGAAAGTATCATTGTTCGATAACCATAAATTGATTAAACTGTTCTCGGCAATATTTGAGCTAGCGTCTTCTCTTTTAAGACGATAGCTCATTTGCGCAACGACTAACCTTTAATTAGACCATCACTGATGTAACTTTGAACAGAAATTTGGAAAATTGACTAAATTCCTAGCAGAAGTAGGACTTATTCCAGCTGCTAAAGCACAGTAAAAGAAAAAATATATCTAGTGGACACAAATTTGTTTTACTATTTGACGCAAAAAAAAACGTCCAACATGCTTGTCACCATATCTTTAACCGATCAGTTGCAGGTATTCATTGTCGAAGTCTTATGTTTGAGGAGCCAATTGGAGAACATGCTCTGCAACAGCACGTCTTCAAACAAATATATTTGTTCATGGGAATTGAGCCCTACAGCGACTGCAAAAATAGGTGCCTCATGGAAAATACCTGTGTGTCCGTCAACATTGGCCCACCCAGCAAGAATGGACTCAGGGTCTGTCAACTGAGTGATTCTGATCACATTCAACATCCTGATGACCTTAACCCCCAAGAAGGATACCAGTATTGGGCTACAAAGGTGTGGATATTTGGATAAAACACAATACGTTAAATTCATTTTCTAATTTTCCCTGGTATGGTTATACTGAGTTTTTATTAATATAAATCATACTAAAGATAAATTTGTCCCTGCAGAATCCATGTTCAAGCAGCCCTTGTCTTCCTAATGCAACCTGTCTAAATGGTTTTACAGATAAGAGATACATTTGCTTGTGTCAAGTTGGTTCCGAGGGAAAACAATGTGACAAAGAAAAAGGTGACCAGAAGCTAAGAATTTCTCAAAATAAATGTCAGGTTTACCTTCGTGCTTATGTGTTATCTCCTCCTGTGAATCTTTTACTTTGACACATCTCGTGATCCGCTTCATTTTTATCATTATTATTATAATTATTATTATTTTATTTTTTGCCTCCTCCCACCTCCAATATTCGTGGTTGATATCTGCTGTATGGTGGATTGATTAATATGTCATTTGAAGGCTAAGGGCCTGTTTACGTGGAGGTGGGGGACCCCAGGTAGGTGAGGTAATCTGCCTAGCCGAGGTCGAAAAATAAAACGCGTTTACATACAATCTTATAACCCCGGGGTGCTAAGGTCAGGTTTCTTGAGTTTGTTGTTGGGCTTGCAATTAGGGAGTTTCAGCATAAGCTACCCAAACTTACGTCTCGAGAAAGACGAAAGATTAATCCTCGACACTTATATATTTGTTCATGAAAGCGTCACGCGTTGTGTTACGCGGTGTTGAGTTACGTGAGGAACCACTGACTTAATACATATTACGGAATAGTCTGGGAAACGAAGTATGGTCGATTTACGACGCTAAATATTGCGGAATGTGAACATTTTACACTCCTTGTGTGTCCAGTGCAGTTTCTGGTGATTTCTGCCATGAGAAGGCTAGGAAATGTACAAAGTTGTACCCTAATGATTATCTGGGAACCATGTAGTAAGACATGTAGTGGTTCTGGTGTCCAAAAGCGCGTACAGGTGCATGTTGGGCTACTGCCGATCAACTCTACCACTTGTGACAGTGTGTGCCTTAGGTCAAAGCTTGAAACAAGAGCTTGCAACATTCACGACTGTCCAGGTTTGCGAATTGAAGATTTATCAGTAGGGAGTCACATATGAATTACTTATCAACAATCCTTTTAATTTGGAACGATTTTCTTTTCAGTTCAGTACAGTTCACTTGGTTGTTTTAGAGAAAGTACTCCCCACGCTCTCCCGTTGAAACTGAAAAGCTTCCGGGGTAACATAGATTGGACTGACATGACGAAAATCGTTCGAGCATGCGCACAGATCGCCAAGGAGCGTGGCCTTCCCGTGTTTGGAATCCAGTATTACGGAGAATGTTGGAGTGGACTGGACGCCGAAAACACGTACAATAAGTACGGACCTTCCGGAGACTGTTGGAATGGAGTGGGAAAAGAGGGAACAAATTATGTGTACAAAATATGAGTAAAAGTTCCAGTTTTTGTCGAAATTGAGGGGTTAAATATTTGACATAATAATCCTTAAGAGTAGGTTGTGACACGTTATAGAATTAAATACTCCTAAATTACGAACAAAACTGTGTTATCGTTTTATATTCCCTTTAGATGAAAACCCGCGGCTATGAAATATCCCTGAAAACAGACAACTTGTGGGGCATGCTAATATCTTAACTCTCTCCATAGTCACTAGTCATAGTCTCCCTTTAGTCACTAGTCATAGTCTCTCCAGAGTCATTAGTCATAGTCCCCCCGAAGTCAAAAGTCAGTCTCTCCGTAGTCTCTCCATAGTCACTGGTCACAGTCTTCATGTATATGCTGTTCATAGTCTCTCCATAGTCACTAGTCATATTCTCTCCAGAGACACTAGTCATAGTCTCCCCGTAGTTATTAGTCATAGTCTCCTCGTAGTCAAAAGCCAGTCTCTCCGTTGTCTTTCCATAGTCACTCCCGAATTGATTGCTAACAAAGATAATTCGGTTTCAACAACTCAATTGATAATGTAAACTGGCCACAGCTATAAGTTACAAGGTGCCTTCAATTAGTTCACAGAAAAAATTTGGAAACTTCAGCTGAAGTATTTTTCATACAAGCGTGTTTAGAGGAGAGCCTTCTCTCCGACCTCTACTTGCATATCAAAATTCATCAATTTGTACGAGAAAAGAATTCTCAAAATACAGGCGTTAATCGGACTAAAAAGGCATATCAATGTATAGCTTACACACCAATAAGGTCACCAATAGCCTCAAAACCACGGGTATATCTGAAGCTTTCATCTACCAACATCTTAAAACCAACGCAAATCCATGTGTTTGCTCAATTGCGCTCGTGTCCATAATCATTTGCATAATTCTGAATCGCGACCAAGATCTCCTTTTGACCGTTCAAACTTCGTTCGTTTCTCCTCTACGTTGAGGAATGGATAATAGATGCCGAGTTGTCCTAAAACGTTGCATAAATGCGATCGGTCGTAACGCTTGCGCGCTCGCGCGTCTTACAAAGTAAACAAAGGTGATCGGAAGGCGCGTTCTCGATAATTTTCGTTGAAATATCTGGTCATGAACTACGCATAATGTAGAGAAGATCAAAATTAAAGAATACAGTTTGGCACTCTAGTCATTACAGACATATCGTGTTGCTTAAAAGGGCACACAAACAAGTTGAACTGAAAGAATTCTTGCAGTTTCTCCCGAGATTTTGTACATGGATAATCCGCCTGGCAGTGGTCAAAAAATAAAACATGTTTACATACAATCTTACAACGCCGGGGTGCTGGGGTGAGGTTTCTTGAGGTTGTTGTTGTGCTTGCAATAAGGGAGTTTCAGCATTGGCGTCCCGAGCTCACTTCTCGAGAAAGACGAAAAAATAATTATTGGACACGTATGTATTTATTCATGGAGGCGTCACGCGTTGTGTTGTTCTGTGTTTGGTTACCTAAGGAACCGTTGACTTAATGCGTTACAGGGAATAGTTTGGGAAACGAAATATGGTCCATTTAGGACGCTAAATATTCCGAAATGTGAACATTTTACACTCCTTGTGTGTCCCTTGCAGTTTCTGTTCATTTCTGCCATGAGAAGGCTAGGAAATGTAAAAAGTTGTACCCTAATGATTATCTGGGAACCATGTAGTAAGACATGTGGTGGTTCTGGTGTCCAAGAGCGCATACGTGTGCGTGTTGGGCTACCGCCGATCAATTCTACCATTTGTGACAGTGTGTGCCCTGAGTCAAATCTTGAAACAAGAGCTTGCAACATTCACGACTGTCTAGGTTTGCGAATTGAAGATTTATCAGTAGGAAGTCACAAATGGCTTATCAACAATCCTATTAATATGGAACGATTTTCTTTTCAGTTCAGTACAATTCACTTGGTTGTTTTAAAGACAGTACTCCCCGCGCTCTCCCGTTGTAACTAAAAAACTTCCGGGGTAACATCGATTGGACTGACTCGACAAAAGTCGTTCGAGCATGCGCAGAGATCGCAAAGGAGCGTGGCCTTCCCGTGTTTGGAATCCAGTATTACACAGAATGTTGGACTGGACTGGACGCCGAAAACACGTACAATATGTACGGACCTTCCGGAAACTGTTGGAATGGAGTGGGAAAGGGGAGAGCAAATTATGTGTACAAAATATGAGTAAAAGTTCCAGTTTTTGTCGAAATTGAGGGGTTAAATATTTGACATAATAACCCTTAGCAGTAGGTTGTGACACGTTATAGAATTAAAACAGACAGAAAACAAGTTGTCTGAAAACAGACAACTTGTGGGGCATCCTAATATTTTCACTCTCTCCATAGTCACTAGTCATAAATAGTAGCTTATTCTTTTTTTTCTGTGATGATATAGCGGAAAGCTAATGGCGTCTTTATGCTGTCGATCCTTTATACGCTAACATTAAAAGGTGAGGCGGATGGAAATGGGTGAGCGAAAATGGACGCTCGCCCACAGTTTGCCTTAAAGGTTTGCACCGCAATCGGAGCTGTCTAAATAATTATGTCTAAGACTGTGGATGTTTACATTATTCGTGAACATGAAAACTCCGTACTTACTCGGACAATCCCTGAGCAAACACGACTTGGTTTGTTTACTTTGCCCAGTGTACGCTCGTCCTCCATGCTGGGGCAGAGGATTGGAACAAGATCGCCCTCTAGCCTTGGTGCCAGACCCACATGTTTTTGAGCAGGCTTCCTATGTTGACCACGATGTCTAACGACCGTTTACTCAAGAAAAGGGAGGAAAGGAACGGAATAGTATGATGACTTTTTCGTTAATTTAAGATCCGAGTTGTAAGACGCGAGCTAACTGATTCCAGGTACAAAGAGACCAGCTCGAGTGTTCATTTCTTATTGCATTCGCTGTATGCTTTTTTGCATACCTGATGTGCCATCAGATTAAACTCAAATAAGTCCCTCCTCCAGCGATTTTTATTGACTCGTCGGACGAATTTTTCTTAAGGAGAGACCAAGTGAAATGCACAATCGGATACGACAACACTTACAGTGAGTATTTCTGCTATCGATAACGATCTACCTAATGGCAGCACACATTTCTCCGGCCCCACTGCAAGACTTTGAAGTTGCTTTATTGTTTACTTAGTGAGTATCCAATTGACCCAATTGTTTTTGCGTCTTAATGGAACGTAAAAACGCAAAAGAAAACAAAATCTCCCTATCTTGCTTAGAAAATTTTCGGCAATAGTTATTGTATTGTCACAAAATGGCGCCAAGAATTTCGTTTTTGTGCCAGCGATTTCACTATAGGCAATCTTGGCCGCCTCTGTTTCTAATGGAAACAAGAATCTCCTCTTATTTCGACAATTTGTCTGTTTTCAGGGATATTTCACAGTCGCGGGTTTTCATCATTTGAAGGGAATTCAATAACGTGTCACAACTTACTCCTAAGGATTATTATCCCAAATATTTAACCCTCACTTGCTCGAGCCGTCCAGGGAGTTACTGACAACACATAAACATAATATTACAAAACTACATAATACATAAAGCGTGATTTGAATTCTCGTAGAAGGTATGAGAAATTAAGTTTCTTATTATTGTTTTCCACATGAAACTTTTGAAGGAGAAAAGTGTTCTTCAACTTTTATTTCATTCGAAAACATCATAAAGCTGTTGCTACATCGTAGGTGAGACTGGAGGCTTAGTGCAAAGCTAACAATAAAAAAAAACTCTCCACTATATTGTTCGTGACTTTCTTGACTGTACAGGCGATGATCGAGCAGGGAAACTATTTCAAATTTCCACAGCCTTCCTTTTCCGTTTTGCGCGTGAATGATAAAATCCGGCTAAATCAAGTTTAAAAGTCAATTTAAAACTAAATTGAAAATAGACCAATGAATAAACAAAAGAAACTTAGCTGAACTAACTTCATTTAGAGATTATCCCCCCCCCCCTCCTCACTCTCTCCTGAGACTAAATTTCGATTTGATACCACGTCCTCTGACACAAAAAATATTTGGGGAATTTGAAAGATAAACTCTCAGTGCTGTGGCTGCAACTGCAGAAGAGACGAGTTCAAAAATTACCTAAAAATTGTTTTCTTTAGGGGGAGAGTCCTTGTCTTTTACACTAAATTCTATTTCAAAAAATCATGCGTAATGTTGAAACAGTGGATCCGCAAATGTAAACAAAAGATGCATTTCAATCAACACAAGGGATTTAACCGATTCCTTTGGAGCACTTTAGAGCTTTTACAATCCTTTTCTTTTCATCTAAAACTCGTCGAATCTCAGCTGGCCACCATGGGCTAGGAAACTCAAGTCGAGTCGATTCTCATCTCCTGGTGGAGGGAATAATGGCTTAACAATGAGAAGGTGTGTAGTTATCCTAGTATTACATTGATAGTTATCAATAATTGATACAGTTTGTCAGTGAGGCATCTGTCAAAGACTTTGCGAACGCTTAAACAGTGTTAGACTCGCGCTTCTCCCCTCAAAAGTGAGATTTGCGAATCATGTCCTAATGTTATGTTGAGGATGGTAGAGCACTGTTCTTTATTTTTGTCTTCGCTTTCAAATTTTTTTCTGTGTGGAGGATGGCTTATTTGCTTTGTAGAAGGAAACCAAGGTAAAGAATTCGGTTCACTCCTTTCTTCACTTAATGCAACTTTAATTCAATATGCGACTTATTGACTGCCTGAAAAAAGTCAAACTAAATTCTTATTAAGAAAGTCTCTTCTACCTTTCTAAGAGCGAAATTTTTATTTTTCCCTTCTACTCTTCATATTTAAGTTTAATTTTGCTATTGATATCATTTCTCAACTTTGAAATCGAGTAAGCATGGTATTTTAATTTATTATTCTTATTCCTATTTCATAACCTTAATTCAACAAAATGCGTATGTTTTTTTTTCTGGTGAACAAGAATATGTTTGTATTCCACAAAATATTTTGTTTCTAATTAACGAAAAAAACATAAATAAGTTATGAGAGAAAAAAAATTTCATACAGCATTGTTAAAAATTCCAATCAGAGGACTCGCATTATTCCTCAGGACTATCTTCCCATGTAATAAACGTA